TACAACCAATGCTGTCTCCATATTACATGTGTGTGTGTGTGTGCGTGTGTGCGTGTACGTGAATTCAATATGCAGATATTATAAACCTCTTATTTCTTACTATTTTTATGAGAAGCTTGATTATTTTTTGCAGAGCTCTGTGATAATTAACTGCTAACAAACAACTGCTAAGGAGCTCTGGTGGCGCAGCAGACTAAAGCACTGTTATTAACTGTTATTAACATCAAGCTGCCTGCAATTACTGCAAGTTCAAATCCCACGATGCTCAAGGTTGACTCAGCCTTCCATCCTTTCTAAGGTAGGTAAAATGAGGACCCAGATTGTGGGGGCAATAAGCTGACTTTGTATAAAATATATAAAAGTATGACGGCTATTGCTTAACGCATTGTAAGCCACCCTGAGTCTCCGGAGAAGGGCGGCATATAAATCAAATTTAAAAATAATAATAAAAAAAAAAAACAAATAACAAAATTAAAGTTGAAAAGTTAGTCATTTTTGGCTGTTGCATTCTTTCTCACTTCTAAACTGTAATATTTGACAAAAATGCATTTTCCTGTTGGTCTCCCATTTTTACTTTAGTTGTGAACATTTTAAGATAAATATGAAATGAAACACATCGGTAATTGGGAAAGTAAGATAAACCATAAATACTCAGTTATTCTGAATAAATGTGAAAAATGCAAGTGCTTACTTTTTGGCTTGTATTCAATAATATCAAAGAACTGTGCATTCGAGTACAGCCTCTCATTTCTCCTGTTTCAATGGAATATCTGCAAGGTATCAAGTGGACTGAGGGATTTTTCTGTAACTGAAGTAAGGAAAGACTTCAGTTACAGAAAAATCTCCAGTTCACTCAATATCTGTTTATTTAGTTAAGTGATATAGAAAGTTAACATCACAAAAAAATGCATCATTCTAAGAAATCACAGCCTTTTGAGATTGTATAGATTGCATGCAATCAATGGTAGCAATACTATACAACACACCTGATTTGGCCAAATATACCAAAATTAAAATATCCTGAATCATGGACCTCATCAATCTCTGCCTCACTGCCTACTTTCAGTTTGATGGACAAATATAACAACAAATCAGAAGAATACCCGAGGTATCACCACTCTTAAGTCTCATAGTAGAGACTGTAATGTAGAGTCTAAAAACTATAGCACCCACACATATACAACCAAAAATATTGATCTGGTATGTAGATGAAACAACTAGAGAAGACATATGAAACAATTGACAACATCTTCAAAGGAATAAAATTTACAAGGGAAGAGATGAACAGCAATACACTAACTTTCCTGGATATCTTCATCAGCAGTGGTGGGCTGCAACTAGTTTAACAACCGGTTCTGTGAGCAAGCACTTTGCGTACATGCGCCTAACATGCTTGCGTGCAGTGTTTAAAATACAGCAATTTGAAGCTCAGCTGATTACCTTCTAAGGCAGCTCTGGTAAGTAGAACAGTGGAGGCGTGGAAATCAGCTGTGTAGCACAAATCAGCTGAGCCAGAAAGAAGGAAATATAGGACAGGATAGGGCAGGGGTGAGTGAGTGGGCGGAGCCAGCTGATTGTCAGAACTACCGATTCGCCTGAACCTGTCCGAACCGGCAGCAGCCCACCACTGGAAACAATGGTTAATGCAAGTCTATGAAAAACAACCAACACAACCAAGTGGTTCACTATGAACGTAACAAACCAACCTCCCACAAGAGGCGATCTGTAAGAACATTATTCACATGTCCCTCTCTGAGGGAGATGGGTGGAAAAGAAGTATGAAATATAATAAAATAAATAAATAAATTGCACTGCAGCACCCAGGTCACCTATCCAATCTCTTCCAACAAAAATGGATACCCATGCAATTTTATAAAAAAGTGCTGCCCGTTCAACCCACTATAGCACAATCAGCCAATCCTATGAAAAGGATAATAGCACCATACATCAAAAATATATCAGAAACAACCAACAGCCTATTACAGCCACACAATATCACCATAGCACACCAAAAGACCAAAAGACAAAATTGCTAAAGGAAAAAAAAAAGTCATTTATGACATAAAGTGCACAGCTGCTATGTAGGACAAACAAGCAGAAAATCAGCAGAGCACATCGACTGAACACCGACTAGCAGTCAGAAGATGTAATGAAAGCTCCTTAATTTCATAACACATGCACAGATTAAACCATAATTTCAGTTGGGAAATTGTGAGCACCCCAGGCCAAGCTAAATCCAAATTGGATTTGGGGAATTCCTTGAAGCTTGGCATTCAGATAAACCAATCCTCAACAGACACAGAGAGATAAGCTGTATTTATTTGCCATTCAAAAAAGACAATAAAAAAACCTAACAAGGAAACAAAAAGACCAGAACATATTATCTCCAGCAGCAACACCCAGATAAGCAGGAATTCACAACACTAGACCAAATAATCAAGCAGAAAACAATACCCTAATCAAAGAACTACCAAAGAGAAAACCACATCCTTATCAACACAGGCAGTGCAAGCTACTGTATATAAAGAGGGAGCAAAACCCACAATCACCAATACTAACGATGTTACCTAGTTGAGTAATGAAACATCTGGAAGCAAACAACCAAACTCTGGAAGACACCAAGGACTCCATTGTATAAAAATGTATTGAACTTCAGTAAAAAATAAAAAATAAAAAATTCTAAGAAATGATAATACAGCACTACATAAACTAGTCAGTACTCTGTTAAGATTCCTACAACTTTCATAAAATATTGGAACCAATACAGACTTCAATTCAAAAACTCTTACAGCATTATAGGACAGATATGGACCACTACAGATTTAAGTTAAGCATTTTTAGTTTCAGTGATCTAGAAATTTTCCACAGGTTTTTTTTTATTCTGCTCCAGTACTGAAGAATCTCAAGCATCAAATTAATTTTCAGCATAAGTTCTTTCATGATGTCTCTAGCATTATCTGCTAATACCCCCTTTTCTCTCTTAGTGAGTCATGAGCTTCATCTTTCAAACTAGCTTACGCAGATAGCCTTTTACTGCATTTGCAATGAATGAGGGAAAACACTTAAATAATTTTTTATTAACAGGATACATCTACTGTTTTGCACACTAGACAAAGGGAACTTGTTTTCATAGTAAATGCTATAATTTGCATTCATCACAACTATTCCCTTCATATTCCTCCCAGCCATCGAAATGTTTCCTCAACAGACGATGGATTATGTGAGTTACTCTGGCCACACATATTAAATGCTTTGAAGTTTTTGATTCAGTTTTATGCCCATTTATTTAAATTCTATAAAAAACCATCTTGAATAATATACAAAAATGTATATTATTAGTTAAGTGCCTTGATTTCACTGGAAATATTTTATGTGATATTGTATTTGATTTTCTGCTAGATGATCCCTGAACAAAAACAACTAACCATACTGGAATTGCACAAACAATAGAACTTCACTGGACTTCAGTGAATTATTTGAGAGTTGTGTTATTTCTCTTGTCAATGCTGATTAAAAGACTGGAGTTGATACTGTAAGGGGTTGTCAGACACAGAACACTGCTACAGAAAATTGAAAAGGTCAGGATAATTATGAATTAAAGCAAACACACTTAATTGTGACAGATGTGTGCCTTGCTGTTTTATATGCGGCACTATTTGTTGAACAGATTATTGCGTACTTCCCAGGGCACAATACAGTAACCAACAGCCCAGAATTTCTACTGCTACCACAATCTGTTTTAACAGGACAATTTGGGCATTTGTATTTAATATTTTTTAATGAAAAATTCTCCCTTCTGGGCATACATTTCCACCACCACTATCATTTCAAATAAGATAATATACTAGTGCACTAAATGTTTGCACTTATAGATTTCTTTAACAATATTTAAGGACATTTACTATAAATTAATGCCAGTAAATTAAGACTGTCCCAATACATTTAGAACTCACTCCAATTAAAATATTTGATACCTACAAAAGCCTCTGTATCCTTGCCAGTATAAACTCAATTAACAAATTTACTGTTCTTTCAGGAAACCCCATACAGTATGTGTCTGAGGAGATTGCTTCATGGTATATAGTGAGCCTTCAGTGCCATCATGGGCATGATTAATTCTAACATCTGTTCGCCAGACCTTTTTATCATATAAAGCCATATTTCCTGCTATTTCAGCAGGAAATAAATGCTGATGGAAAGTGGTTACTAGAATTAATTCTACAATATTCCAAAGTCAACTTACCCTTGTTCCAATCTATCCTCTCACTATTTGCTGAATTCTTACTAAATTCACATTTAGAGCTGTAAATTCACATTTACAGTTGTAATCAACTGTCAGCTTGCCACATGGTAGGTCACAGATGCAAAACATAAACAAATTATCTGCTTGTTCCCTCCTTGATCATCATCTTTATATAAACATATAAAATTGGACCATTCTGTATTGGCCCTAGAGCTCTCCAAAACCATGCCAAGCCATAGGGACGCCTGCCTATTTGACTGGCCCACCCCAGGAAGCTACAATGCAGTTTCAGAGGAAGCTTGGGTTTTTTTTCCTGAAACTCTGCTACACAGCTCAGTCTTGTCACAGCTTGGAATGAACAGGTGACTAAGCAGATAACTGAGGCCATGGAATGAATTGTTCCTCATTACTTTCCTTTTGGTTGCAAAATATGGTGCATTCATCATGCAGCCAAGTAAAATATTGATGTTTAACTTCTCCTTGTTTGTTATAAAAATAAATTGGGGAGGAAATCTGATTTATCATGGAGAGCTGATAGTCAAAAATGATTCCTTCAGCTTATGGAAGTGAATAAGATCCTGGGGAAGGGAAAGGGAAAATTTAAATATTTCCAATAATTCCAATGTCTTGTTATTCCAGGGGATCCCCCAGCAGACTTGGGAGAGAGGACCAGAGGGATCTGTGAAAAGTTAGTGCAGTTTACAGAAAATCATACGTTTCGAAAGACTAAATTAAAAATTAATACATTGATACTTACAGCCAATCATCATCATAGCAACAGCAAAGATCTTCTCTCCATCTGTCGTTGGTGCAATGTTCCCAAATCCAACACTTGTCAGACTAGTCATTGTAAAATATAATGAAGAGATATAAACAGAATCCTTGCTTGGTCCGCCTTCCCATTTTCCAGTTGTTGTGTTCAATTGATAAGGCGATCCTATGGATTCCCCTAGCTGGTAGAGCCAGCTTTCATTTCGTATTGTGTTTTTATCCTCATTGATAACTTCATAGTCCCCAATACTGTACCAAATGCAGGCCAGCCAATGGGCTGCAAGACCAAAGACACACACCAAAAGAACCAAGACAGCCGCTCCATATTCAATATAGTGATCCAATTTTCGAGCCACACGACCTAGTCGAAGCAGCCTGACTACTTTAAGGGAACTGAACAGACTACTGATGCCCTAAAGGAACAAAGCAAAACAACCCATTAGTATTTAGTATTATTTTATCATGTAATATTTTTGTGAAGAATAAGTTGATTACATATTTACATAGGTTCAAAGTCCCACTACAATTGCAAAATTAAATTTATGGAGACCAAATAAGTAGTTTACCTAAAGTCAGCTTTATTTTTGATACATCCTATAAGTGAGAATGATGAAGAGTTAGATCCCAAATGTCAGAAAATTAGATTGATTAGTTTTAGTAAATCTGACATGCTTAATTTCCTTGGCAATTAAATTGCTTCAGTTGTTTCAGCAGAATTTAAGAAGAATTTGTATTGGGACACAAGATGCTGAATAATTATGCAGTTATGTAGTCAACGTTGTTCTACAAATAATGGATTTATCCTCCTATTAGGATCTCCTATGTTCCTTTTCAATTTTGAAAACATCCTAAAATATCCTAAAAAATTTAAGGATTTATTTAATAAGAAGTTTCTTTGATTACTTTATCATAAAACATATTCCTCAATTTCTCTTAGAAATAGCTTTCAACAAAAACTATGATCTACTCTTAAAATACATTTGATTTCACTGAATCAAGATAATTTCATAATAAAAATTACTAATGATACATTAGCCTTCTGCAACCTAGTATACCTGTACTCTCCAGCTATTTTGCATAATAAATCTCATTATTTCTAAGCAGCACTTTCACTGTACATGCAAACTGATGGTTGATGCCCGATTGAAGAAGTCTGCTTTATATCCTTATAATCAATAATTTGCACATTAAAGGAAGACAATGCTATTTGGACTAATTGAAATTACTTCCTCACCATATTTCAAAATACAGTATACTTCTGCCAAACAAACAACAGTCTAACAATTTCAATTAAATGATTAAAGCAAGTTTAACAAAAGGAACAACAAATTAAGTATATAAAGTAGTTTCAATGATGCCAGCAATTATTTGAACAAAATTCCTTTCTGAGTTTTTTTTATCAGCCCTTTTTTAATTTAGATGAAATGGGATCTGGCAAACAAAAATAGAACTGACTGAGCACTTTTAAGAAATCACCATTGTCTTCATTAATTATTTTTAAAGAAATATATGCCACAGAATCAAAAATTCTTTAGACTATTTAATACATCACTAAAATATATGAATTAGAAGCATCTATATATATTTCTATACATACCTATGAAAAAGTAAATTCCCCTGTGACCCATGAGACATATTTTGCAATGGTACTATAACCTCAAACAGACAGAAACACACACACACTTCACACAATATATGAAAAACGTTATAACAGCAATTCAATCTAACATATCAACAAGAACATTTTTCAAAGTTTCCCTTCTGCAAATGCTTATTCTACTTTCACCTTATTGTTAAATTCAACATAGGGTGGATCTGTGCTAAAATTCTATCTAGGGTCCACATGGGGCTCCCCTTCGAAAACATTCAGAAGCTATAGCTAGTACAGTATGTTGGTCATTCCAGGAGAAGGAGCTTGCTGTGAACTCCTGTCGGTCAAGGAATTTCAGCTCAAGAACAGCTTTTTCCAGTATGGTCCCAGCCCGGTTGAACATTCTGACACCAGAGGTGAGATCTACCTCCACCCTTCTGGCCTTCCAGAAAGGTCTTAAAAGCTGGTTTTTCACTGGATGTGGTTGACAGGGTAGGAAGAGCTCACCATCCCCTTGGTTTTAGTTCTTATTTAAGTCTTCCTAGTTTTAACTGTTTTTAGGTTCATCTTTTTACTATTTTTAAGCCACCCAAAGTCACCTTATTAGTGAAATGGGTACAGTCCCTAAAGTCAGCCAAAAATGTGCTAAACAACATTGGCTTAAAGCAATGCTGCATGCATTAATTGTGGTACTGAAGCGAAATAGGGCTACACAAGGTTTGTGCAAATCGAGTCTTTCTTTTTCTGTGCCTCAGTTAGGATTCAGAGAAAAAGTAGTCATTCAAAACAGCCCAAGGAGATAATACATGCAACTGCATAAAAGCTATCACTGACAATAAAACAAAAATGTTTAACAGCATTTCTCAAACTAAAAAAAAGTCAGGACACCTCTTGAGGAAGAAGTTTGCAACTGAAGAGCTACCCAGAGTAGGGCTTTCCATGTTCCACCAATTTAACCTTTCATAGTGGTAGGTCATGGAGGTGTGAAAGGTAGTTGGTCAAAAGTAAATAACCCAATCCTGGATCAAGGCACTCTTTAAAAAGGACTGGACAGAAAGTGTACTCTCGCAGAAAAAATAATTGTGTCTGGCCATTTACATAGAGGAGGCAGGACAAAGAGGCAAAATAAATTGGATTTTCATTGCAGTAGAACAGTATAAATAGAACTGGAATTCTTTCATAATGGTTTCATGGTTCGGCTACAATAAATCTGCTTATCTCACTCTTCACGTCCTGAGAAACTCTTGCAGTATTTTGCCTTGCCAACTGAGAAGCCTGATAGGAAGCATCTATAAAGCAGGAAGCCTATACAAAGAAGTAATCCAGTCTCCAGGTTGCCAAAGGAGTGAGACAAGGCTGTATACCCTCCCCTTCTTTATTTAGCCTACATACATGCAGAATATATATTGAGGGAAGGTGGGTAGGAAGAAAATGAGTCTGGATTTAAAATTGGAAGAAGAAAACTGGAAGAAGAAACATCAATAATGTGCACTATGATAATGACATTACTCTGATAGCTAAAAATGCAAATAATCTGCAAGCTCTAGTAATGAAAGTCAAGGGGCACAGTGGGAAATGGGAGAAGGATTAAATGTAAAGATCAAAATAATCACAATAGACACAGCAGCCAGTCCCAGAATAGACAATGAAAATATCAAAATGATGAATAGCTTCTGCCTTTGAAGATAATCTATCAATAGTAGAACCAGCAATCAAAAATACACTGCAGACTAGCACTTAGTAAAGTAGCCATGAAGGAGATGGAAAAGATATTTAGATGCCATGATGTGTCTACACCTACAAAGATCAGAATTGTTCAGGCAATGGTTATCCTGGTAACATCTATGGATGCAAAAGTTGGACTTTGAAAAAGCAAGATAGAGAGAATATTGATGCTTTTGAACTTTGGTGTTGGAGAAGACTCCTGAGAATCCCAAGGACAACCAAGAAAACAAACAAACAGTTCAACGAACAAATCAATCCAGAGTTCACACTTAAGGCACAGATGACCAGGATCACAATATCATAGTTCCTATATGTTATATAAAGACCTAGTTCTTTGGAGACGTTTATAAAAGTGTAAAGTTATAGTAACAGAATCTTACAACTCTGAATGCATTCTGCTCTCCCCTTTATCTTCATGAGAACTAGGGAGAGTTCTGTCTGAGACATTTACTCAACTTACATTCTTGTTCTGCACTCAGTCCTCTTTTATCTAAACCGCTATCTTGAGAGTGGTTCTTTTCCTGCCCCTTAAGACCATTCCTGCTGCCCAATACAGGTTGCTAAAAGTTGACACTAATAGGACATGATATGTCAATCAATGAAAGATCAAAATTGCTTTTTTCCTCAAACCTGGCCAATTGTCTCCTGCCCTAAAGTAAACTGGTTTGCAAAAGAGCCAAATGATCAGTTTCCTCCAAAACTTGTGTGATTGCCATTTGCCTGACAGCCCTGAATAAAAAAAATAAAATCTTAGAATAATGATGTAGTTCAAGGATCATTTCCTCACCACCACCTCTGAAAATTGCCTTATTACATTCCTGTTTAAAGGATTAGGACAGCCTTCTCCAAGAAAGCATTAATCATCAGCATAATTTAGCTCATCAGTCTACCTCTGCAAAAGGCAAGAAGCTCTTTCAGCTTATCCATGTCTACAGGTCAAGGTGAAACTCATCCATTATATTGGACAGATAGCTATCTGAATTTCCACTGTCCAAACCTTCTTTCAGATTATGCTCAGGTTTACAGCGTGAGTCAGAACATGTGCAAACTATTTTTATCGTTAATATGTTTTGCAAACTTGTCACAGCAGGTTGTAGGTTATACAGAGTCTTTTTAAGACAGGACAAGGACATGAAAGCCAAAAGGGAGTAATCAAACTGGGAAAAGTGGTTTCCAGCAGGTGCAAATCTTGTTCATGAACATGCTGGCTTATTTGCAATTCTAAATGTTGCTTAGCATCACCAGGATAACTATTTTTCTGGTACTTCTTGACACATATACAATCTTATTTATTCCCCAAGACTATGACTAATATTTTTGTTTCAAATGAGATTCAGGTGCCCACTCAAGATTAATCCTTCAAGGAAGGTTCGAATCATAGAAACACATTAAGCCTAGGAACCAATCACATGACTGCAATGGATTGTTTATAATACACTAGGTCCATTCAAACAAGTTCCAAACTTTTATTTAACACTTCCTGTGGGCAGTGGTAGAAATAATACAGAAGGTGGCTTTGTTCTCCTAATGCTTAAAAGTTTGGGTAGCAGATGAACTATACTAGCAGAGATTGGGCAACCTATTGCTGCATGCTGCCTCTGCAAGATTTTCACAGGACCCGTAAAGAAAAAGATGTGCTGAGCCTCCGGTAATTTAATGGATCTCTTTAAGTAAAACACTCTTCAATCCCATCACTAAAATGTTGGATGCGTGATCCCGATGCGAACCGGTAGTAAAGGTAAGTAGAACCCACCCCTGAGCCTAACCTACCTTACAGCCCATTGTGAATCATGTATGCTGCCACAAGTTGTTTTCAGGAAAGCTGTAATTCAAATGTAATAAAGTAAAATTATAAAAATATAACTGAATTATTTTCAGGGAAAGCTATCTATCTTCTCTTTGTTGTGAAGTTCGCCAAACTACTATTACCTAGTCATTTCGGTAGATAACTATGTTGAGGCCTGAAGGAAGTGACCATGATATCTTGGTAAATTAGGAAAGGGAAAATTTTCCATATGGTCATGGAGATATACAGGTGGAGATGGTAGAAATAAAGACATTAAGAATCAGGCCATGGTGTCAGAGGGCCTGGGTTGA